CTGGTCAGGTTCCGATTGAGGCTGTAAGGGGCGGTGTGTGTGTGTGTGTGTGTGTGTGTGTCTGCGCGTGCACGTGCATGGACGTGTGCATACACACGCTAGGGGGAGGTGCTGGCTCTCTGAGGCCAAGGCAGCCTTGGCTCTGCCCTACCCCTGCCTCCTTCCAGGAGTGACCGCTATTCGGCCAGAGGACCTTGAATTTCCCAACACGATGACAGACATTGACTACGATACATGGATGCTGAGGTTGAGCTGCGTGCTTTGGGGAACAGCTGGGCGGGGCTGGGTAGAGCTGGTTGGGATGAGGGAATCAGTTTGGGGCCTGTGGTGGCCATGAACAATGCCAGACCAGATCTGGTTGACCCCTCCTTTCAGTTTGAGGAAGCCCCCCCCCCAGGCCCTTGGGTAGCTCCTGCTTTTCCCTGGGGGGATCCCAGGGACAAAGGAGACAAGATTGGGTCTGCCCCAGATCAAGATCCCAGTCCAAGGAACTGGAAGGTTCTGACAAGCAGAGACTTGTTTGAGAGGCCTGTATGGGAAGGAAGCTAGGAGGCTGACCTAGCCCCTCTCTGTCGTCCCTCCAGCGGCACAGCCATCATGCAGGATGGTAACACGATGCGCAACAACTACGGGTGCGACCTCGACGCGCTGGGCACAGGCGCGCGCATCGGCATGATGCGAACAGCCAAGGGTGACCTGCACTACTTCATCAATGGCCAGGACCAAGGCGCTGCCTGCTCAGGCTTGCCTCCCGGTAAAGGTGACTATTCTGTGGCTTTTGACCCGCCACCCTCAGCCCAGCTCACCCCAGGCTATCAGGCCTCTGATCCCTTCTTTTCCTACCCAGAGGTATATGCAGTCGTGGATCTGTATGGTCAGTGCGTCCAAGTGTCCATCACCAATGCCACCGGACCCATGGACAATAGCCTGGCGACCAGCAACACTGCCACTGAGAAGTCATTCCCCCTGCACTCCCCAGGTTTAGCCAGCAGGGAAGGAGGGTGGGTGGGCTCTGCCTGCCTTCTGTGGGCCTAAGGGATGCAGCTTCTAGGTTGGGAACTGTTCAGAGACAGGCTGGCTGCAGCAGCTGCAGACTGAGGGGAGGAGGGAGGGAATCAACCCTAGCGGGAAGCAGCCAAGAAGAGGGAGGAGGTTACGCCTGGACCCTTCCCCGCCACCAAGGGCCCGGGACAGCATAGCTTGGCATGCCAGATTTGGGACCAAGTCTTGCTATGGTGAGAGAGGTGTCAGAGGTCTTGAAGGAGTAATGCAGATGGAAGCTTCATGTCAACTTCCTGCTTCACCTGAAAGTTTTATCTGCATCCTGTCTGAAGCTTGCTGTCCTAATCCTCCCCCTTCCTCTGGTGCCATCTTTCCACAGTGGCTGGCGTGGCTCATCGATTCCACAGTACTTGCGGCAAGAACATCACGCTGGAGGAAGACGGCACGAGGGCAGTGCGTGCGGCTGGTTACGCCCATGGCCTCGTCTTCAGCACCAAGGAGCTCAAAACGGAGGAAGTCTTTGAGGTGGGCTGTTGGAATATAATTCACAGCAGGGCCAGGCTGCTCCCTCTTGCCCCCAGCTCATGCCGCTAGGCGTTTCTCTCTCAGGTGAAAGTGGAAGAGCTGGATGAGAAGTGGGCAGGTTGCCTCCGGCTCGGGCTGACCACACTAGCACCAGGGGAGATGGGGCCTGGAGCTGGTGGCGGCCCCGGGCGTGCCTCCCTCCCTGCCGGAGCTCCGGACCAAGACCACCTGGATGGTGTCCAGCTGTGAAGTCAGGCGCGATGGGCAGCTCCAAAGGATGAACTATGGCCGGAACCTAGAGAGGCTGGGGGTGAAGCAGCTGACTCCCGGCACAGGGGTGGGCTTGGGGGTGGGGGTGGTGGGGAAAGGTGGGCTGAGCACCCGTCCTTGCCTCACCTCGGCCCTAGGTGGGGAGCCGTGTAGGCATCCGCCGGGGGCAGATGACACAATGCACATCCTGGTAGATGGAGAGGATATGGGGCCAGCAGCCACTGGCATTGCCAAGGTAGACACAGGACCTCCGCTGGGTCTGGGAGTGGGGTTGAAGTCCTCCACTGGTCTCTGACTCCCCAGCTCTGTGTGCCCCTAGAACGTGTGGGCCGTGTTGGATCTCTACGGGCCGGTGCGGAGTGTGTCTATTGTCAGCTCCTCGAGGCTAGAGGAGCAGGAAGGCACCCAGCCTCCTTCCCCCAGCTCGGACACTGGCAGTGAGGGCGAGGAGGACGATGAGGGCGAGGAGCACAGCCTGGAAGTAAGAGGCAGCACCAGGACCCACAGGGTACAAGGATGGGCAGTGGGTGGACCATTGGCCACCAGGTGGTCTTTGGGCTCTCTGATCCAGTCCTGGTAGGACTGGGTAGGCAGAGGCTAATATGCAGGCTGCGTGTAGAGCCCAGAGGGGTGGCTCAGGCCCTGCGTCGGCAACCCCCGCAGCTCAGTCTCTCCTCCACTCCAGGGCCAGAATCAAGTGGCCATTATGCCCACAGCTCTCGAGTTCCTGGAGAACCATGGGAAGAACATCCTCTTGTCCAACAGGAACCGTACAGCTACGCGAGTGGCCAGCTACAATCAGGGCATCGTTGTCATCAACCAGCCTCTGGTGCCCCAGCTGCTGGTCCAGGTGGGCCTCACCTTGTCCCCAGCTCCTCTTGCTCAGGGTGACCCAGGGCCAACCCTCCTGGACAAAGGCTTTTCAGGTCAAGGACAAAGTGGAAAGCATGTCCCTTGAGTGAGCTTCCTGGGCTTTTGTTTGTACCCTGTGATGAGAGTTGTAAATCAGTTACCAGGAAGTGCCCACCTGGGGACTGTGCTGAGGAAAGCAGTAGTGAGGGCTTAGGGGAGGCTGGGAGACTCTTGATCCTATATGTGGGAGCAGAGCGTGCTTTCCAGAGGAGGGGGCCTTGTGCTGCAAACTACAAGATATCAGTTAGGCAGGCAACAGCAGCCCTGGGGGACAAGAATCCTTTCAGAGGCAACAGCAAAACCAAGGCTGAAAGAGGGAAGGACACAACTGAATTTGCAGTTTCCTGTCTCTCCAAGCATCAGAAGGGGCAGCATCCCAGGCCACACTGCGGGGTGCTACCTTCTCTCCCTGGCTGGGGTATGGGGCCTGGTTCTGCTGGGTGGGTGGCCTTTTCCCAAGATGCTGTGATTGGGGAACAGTTTCCTTCTCCCCAGGTGCGAATAGACTTCTTGAACCGGCAGTGGACATCTTCCCTTGTCCTGGGAGTCATCACCTGTCCCCCGGAGAGGCTCAACTTCCCTGCTTCTGCCTGTGCCCTCAAACGGGCAGCCTGGCTGCTGCGGGGCCGTGGGGTCTTCCACAATGGTCTCAAGGTGGGTACGGAGCAGAGAGAAGCGAGAGGGCTAGGCCTCTGAGTGGGGAGGGGCTGGCCTTGAGGGAGAAGAGGGGCCCCTAGTCCTGGAGATAGGACCACAAGTATATTTAAAGGGGTCCTGTAGTGGGTGGATCCCGTAGCAGGTGGGCCAGGGTGTGAGTTTCATTACCTGGACAGTCTTGGGCTTACTGCCTCCTCCTATGTCCCTGTCACTGAGAATGTCACGGGGGAAAGGGAGGTGGACTCCAGGTAACTGAAGCAGAGGGTAGAGCCCTGGCAGTGGGCGAGTGTGGAGGCAAAGCCCAGGGACTGATGACCTGAGTTTAGTGAAGGGCGGGGATGGCTGCTGCTGGTGGGAGTCTGATCTCTGGGAAGACAGTAGGTCTCTCCTCCCAGATCTGTGAGAAGTTCGGGCCAAATCTGGACACATGTCCTGAAGGCACCATCCTGGGACTGCGGCTGGACGGCTCTGGGGGGCTGCATCTCCACGTCAATGGGATGGACCAGGGAGTGGCTGTGCCAGATGTCCCCCAGCCCTGCCACGCACTCGTGGACCTTTATGGGCAGTGTGAGCAGGTCAGTGGCACCGGAGGCCGGGCTGTCGGAGGAAACGGGAAGTCGGTGGTTCCAGGAGGGGATCAGCAGGCTTGGGGGGCTGGTAACACTCTGCTGACCACCTCTGTCCCCAGTAGGTGACAATCGTGAGCCCTGAACCAGGGGCTGCCAGTGGAAAGAGTGCTGGAACCCAAGGGGACATGGAGAAAGCTGACATGGTGGATGGTGAGCCAGCTCAAGGGGCCGGGGTCCCACTGCACCCCAACCCCGCACTTCTGGCCCCGGCTCCTGTGAACTGTGCCCCCTCTGCTCCCTCAGGTATCAAGGAGAGTGTTTGCTGGGGCCCACCACCCGCTGCTAGCCCCCTCAAGAGCTGCGAGTACCACGCCCTTTGCTCCCGTTTCCAGGAACTGCTGCTGCTTCCCGGTGAGTCCCCGGTCCCCCAGAACCTGCCTCATTGCTGTCCCAGCCCTGGGCCAGGCCCAGAGCCCTGGAGACCAGTTGGAAAGAGGTCAAGTGGCTGAGCTCCCAGGCAGGAGCCATGCCACAAAGTCTGCCACTCACTCTCCACAGAGGATTATTTCATGCCTCCGCCGAAGCGTAGCCTGTGCTACTGTGAGTCTTGCCGGAAGCTTCGAGGAGACGAGGCCCACAGGCGCCGTGGGGAGCCCCCTCGGGAATATGCCCTACCCTTTGGCTGGTGCAGGTTCAACCTCAGGTACATGTAGGGCAGGTTCACGCAGCTCCCTCACTGTTTTTTGCCCCCTTGAGGAAGGAAGGTCCTGAGAGGGTGTATGGAAGAAGCGACAGCACCTCTCCTGAGGGCTGACCTCGGGGAGCCAGTGACTTTTGTCCCATTTGCCCTTTCTGTCCACCTCCTAGGGTGAATCCCCGCCTGGAGGCTGGGACACTAACCAAGAAGTGGCACATGGCGTATCATGGGAGCAATGTGGCAGCTGTCCGGAGGGTGCTGGACCGAGGGGAGCTGGGAGCAGGTACCCTGCGCTGGTGGAGGCAGGGCGGGCTGGGCCTGTGGGCCGAGGGCGCTGCCCTGACCCCGCTCTCCACACAGGCACTGCTTCCATACTGAGCTGCCGACCCCTGAAGGGAGAGCCTGGGGTGGGGTTTGAGGAGCCTGGTGAGAACTGTGCGCCTCCCCGGGAGGAGCAGCCCCCTCCAGTGCTGCTTTCCCCCTCCCTCCAGTATGCTGGGGCCGAGACCCTGGCATCCAAAGTGCAGTGAGTACACAGGAAGGGGCCCCAGGAACCCTTGGGTCTCCATGATTCTCTCTCCTTTCTCACCTTGTCTCGCTAGTTCCTCAGTCTCCACCCCAGCCCTTTCTTCGCACGTACTTTGAACAAATATCACTTATTTTGTTCTGTCACAAAGAGCAAAAAAGGAAACCTTGCTCTTGTGGAACTTCTGTCCTCTTCCTCTGGAATGTTTATGCATAAGTATTTAGTATTTTTAAACGTGACAGGTAAACACCTTAGAAACAGAAAAGGTAGAGTGGAGGGAAGTGGATCAGAAGTGTGGTTGGAGCGGGCATATTAAATACGGTAGTCAGCATAGACATTAAGAAGATGAGATTTTGGGGGAAATCTATAGCTCAGTGGTAGAGTGCCAGCTTAGCATGCACAAGGTCCTGGGTTCAATACCCAGTACCTCCATTTGAGAAATAAATAAACGTAATTACCTCCCTCCCTTCCCCTCAAAATGAAAATAAATTTTAAAAAGAAGAAGATGAGACTTGAGCAAAGGCTTGGAGAAGGAAGGAGGGAGTTAGTCCAGCAGGCGTTGGGAGGAAGACCATCTCCAGTAGAACGAACAGCCAGAGCCAAGTCCCTATAAGGAGGAAATGATTCCTGGGAAGAGCAGGGCCAGCTGCTAACTGCGGTGGTTGCAGTCAGCAAGGGAGGGGCAGAGGCCTCACTGCCCTGTTTCTGCTTCTTGCCTGACAGATTCCGGGACCCCAAATCCCAGCGGACGCACCAGGCCCAGGTGGCGTTCCAGGTGTGTGTGCGCCCTGGCTCTTACACCCCCGGCCCCCCTTCCGCTGCCCTCAGAGAACCCCCCGACCCTCACTTCAGTCCAGCTGAACTTGAGTGGGTCACCAAGGAGAAGGGGGCTACACTCCTCTATGCCCTGCTGGTACGGGTGGAATGAGGGGTGAGACCTCACTTACTACCAAGCACAGTTGGGCCTTGGGCCCATGGACTCCGAGTGACGACTGCCGCCACTTCATTCCAGCACCCACGGCATGCACGGGGCTCCGCCTGGCAGATGCACAGGAGCCCATAGGCAGGCTCTCAGACTAGCTGGGAAGCGGAGCACACCTCCCAGCCCAGGGCCGGACAGTCCCTCCGAGGCGAGGGAGCAGCGGGGAGCCCGACGCAGGCCTTGGGTGGCCCCTCTCCATGCACTGATCTGGGGAGCATGACTCCCCGCGACTCCTCCCCTACATCACTTAATTTATTTCTGTTTCTGTTCTGGTTACTGTGAATCCCAGAGGAGTCTCCCTGCGCCCCACACGAAGCTGCTTCCCCGGGCCCGGCGGGAGTGGGGAAGGCGGGCGCGGGTTTCCGGCCCTCTGTACAGTTGTTACTGACTCTGATTTCTAAGGAGCCAATAAACGCCGTCTCAGAGCAGCCGCCTCGGCCATTCTCTCTCGCGCCCGTGTCTCTCGCTTCTTGCTTCTCGGAGGAGCCCCAGCCCCGCCACGTCGCGGGGGCGCAGCAGCGGTGTTTGGACACCACGGGCACCCGTCGCCGGCACTTCCGCCTCCCTCGCGCCCCGCCCCGTCCCGCCCCGCCCCACCTGCGAGGCCGCAGCCGCCCCGACTCCGGAAGGATTCGGCTCAGTGGCCGGATGTGACGCCGCGGCCCGGGCGCTCAGGAGGCCGAGGAGAAGGCGACGAGAAGACGGGTAGGGAGGGGCTGGCGCCCGGGTGGCGGGCAGGGGGTCGGAGAGCCAAGGCCGAGACCCCCGCCCGCACGCGAAGGAGCCGCGCTGTTGGTCTGACGGGAGGCAGGCGGTGGGCACGTGACCGGGGCGGCGGACGGGCAGCTTCCGCCTGGGCCTGGCGCGCTCCGCCTGAGCACCCGCCTCCCCGCAGGCCCGGTACGAGTCTGGCAGCCAGTGACAGAGTCGGGTGCCCACGGTCCGAGCGTCCCCGGCAGCACCATGCCTGCGCTCCTGGAGCGCCCCAAGCTCTCCAACGCCATGGCCAGGGCGTTGCACCGGCACATCATGATGGAGCGGGAGCGCAAGCGACAGGGTGAGTCGGAGCCACAGAGAGAGGACGCCCCAAGGCGCCCCGCTCTCCCAGGGCTGACCCCTACCCGTAGGCAGACCAGTGTGCGGGTGGCCCGAAGTCAGGAGCGACGAACAACCCCAATTTGGTGGGAGCCAGAGGCCAGATCTAAACTCCAGAACCCTTGAGCTGGGAAGGACCTTGGAGAGCACCTAATAAACTTCCCGGTCCCTGTCCTCTCCAGAGGAAAAGAGCCAGTACCAAGAGCATTGGGATAAGCAGTTTTTGCTGTTCTTCAGTCACATTCTAATATTTTAACCATCTTTTCACTATCCCATTCTGCCCACCTCTTCCTCCAGAGGAAGAAGAGGTGGACAAGATGATGGAACAGAAGATGAAGGAAGAGCAAGAGAGGAGAAAGAAAAAGGAGATGGAAGAGAGAATGTCACTAGAGGAGACCAAGGAACAAGTAAGCAGTCCTTTGATCTCTCCCACCCAGATCTTTCTTCCCTGGGTTCTCCTGCTTTCATCTTCTCTCCCCTTCCTTCCCAGATCCTGAAGTTGCAGGAGAAGCTTTTGGCGTTACAGGAAGAAAAGCACCAGCTTTTCCTGCAGCTTAAGAAAGTTTTACATGAGGAAGAAAAACGGAGGCGAAAGGAGCAAAGGTGGGATTGGAGAGCTAAAAATAAAATTGGGATCAAAGTGGAAATGGGAGCAGATAACGAAAGATTAGTGTCTAATGGCGAACAAGGGGACATGTCTTTGCTTTTGACCTGCCTTCCTTTCACTCCAGTGACCTGACCACTCTGACATCAGCGGCGTACCAACAAGGCCTGACTGTTCACACAGGAACTCACCTCCTCAGCATGCAGGGTGAGGATTAAAGAATCCACTTGTCTGAATGGGCCTTACTGGTGGTTGCAGCCTTACTTCAGCATCATGAAGCCCCCTCTCCCTCTCTAGGGAGCCCTGGAGGACACAGTCGCCCAGGCACCCTCATGGCGGCTGACAGAGCCAAACAGATGTTTGGACCGCAGGTGCTTACGGTAAGAGCAGTAGGATTGTGTGTCTAGGCTGTCATTTTTTCCTACTACTCCCACCCTCAGTAAAGCAGCACCCAAGTCATGAGCCTATCAAACTGAACTGTGGAGGCAACCTGAGTTTTTGCTTTCACGTTCACTGAGTTTACAGGCAGTGAGTTCTCACCTTTCCTCCTTAGACCCGGCACTACGTGGGCTCGGCAGCTGCTTTTGCAGGAACCCCAGAGCACGGGCAATTCCAGGGCAGCCCTGGTGGTGCCTATGGGACTGCTCAGCCCCCACCTCACTACGGACCCACACAGCCTGCCTACAGTCCTAGTCAGCAGCTCAGAGGTACGTGGTGGGAAGTGAGAGGGGGCTTTCCCTCAAGGCCCAGAGGGAGTGTCAACAGGCCACAAGGAGGTTCTGATGGCAGTGCTCCCTGCCCTCCTCAGCACCTTCGGCATTTCCTGCAGTGCAGTACCTGTCTCAGCCACAGCCACAGCCCTACGCCGTGCACAGCCACTTTCAGCCCACCCAGACAGGTGATGCACCCCCACACAGGCGCCCCAGTCCCACAGGTCCTCTCTTTTCCCATTCTCTACTGGTTTCACACATCCCTCTTCCCCATCTAGGGTTCCTCCAGCCCGGTGGTGCCCTGTCTTTGCAAAAGCAGATAGAACATGCTAACCAGCAGACTGGTTTCTCTGATTCAGTGAGTATGGAGCCTTGGGAAGTCAGGGGAAGGGCTGCCTGCACTAAGGGGAGCCCCAGGGTGCCTCAGCTGACTTTGTTCTCTGCAGTCCTCCCTGCGCCCCATGCATCCCCAAGCTCTGCATCCAGCTCCTGGACTCCTTGCCTCGCCTCAGCTCCCTGTGCAGATGCAACCAGCAGGAAAAGTAAGGATGGTAATCCAGCCCATCAGAATCCCAACACTACCAGGGAAAACAGGATTGGGCATAATAGATGCCCCCACCCCTGTTCTCTCTTCCTCCTTGGGGGTGGCTGTTTAGTCCTGCTGGAGTAGAGCAGGCATGCACACTGACAAAGCCCTCCTTTTCATCATGGCTGCCAGTCGGGCTTTGCAACCACCAGCCAGCCTGGCCCTCGGCTTCCCTTCATCCAGCACAGCCAGAACCCGAGATTCTACCACAAGTGACCATCAGATTTTATCTTCAACCTCGCCCCCAGCCCCTGCCATGGGGGAGGATCCCTGGTGTGCCCCAGTCCGAGGCCAATAAAACCTACCTGCCACTTCCCCCTGGCTGCTGTCTGTTGCCTCCCACTGGGCTGCTTGGAGGGTGGGGGGGTGGCTGGCAGGCCCATGGGAGTCACAGTGGGACAGTGAGTTGGTAGTAATCAACTCCCTGTCAGAGTTTAATCTGTAATCTTATTTTCTGGTTTCCAAATACCCATTTAGTTCAAAGAAGCAGCTGAGTTGGGGGCTTCATATTAAACTTGTAGTTTTATTCAGGTTTGATCTTAACAAATGTGTCGGGGAGAGAGCCCGCAGGAAAGGGTGAAGCCCATGGGGACAGGGCCCTCCCAGGTGCCTGAGGAGGGGGCAGGTCCCCTCCCCTCTCCTCCTCTTCCCTCCCCATCTAGAGGGATTTGGGGAGAGACATAGGCTGGGGAGGGGGCTGGTCCCCAGTCTGTAGGGGTGGTGCTTGGGATGAAGGACTACAGAGAATAAGGGATCAGACCAGGGATGAGTAGAGGAAGGGCACAAGGACCATTTGCCAGAATCCACAGCTTTCTGATTCCAGATTGGAAATTAAAAAAAAAAAAAAAAAACACC